GGCAATTGCCATACTGCTCCACTTGTGAAAGTAAAATCTATTGGGCTCCTTTTGGCATCAAGACAATTATTCTTATTGCCACATTGCCAGACAGGACACTGTAGAAAAAAAAAGAAAAAACTACTCATTTAGATTTCAATTTTTTTTCAGTGTAATAAAAAATTATTGCATTCTCTTAATTTAAGTGCGTATTATCTAATTTATCTTATTTGAAGAGCAAAGTATTCATTCCTTTGGCAAATTATCCTATTTACATGCTCAAATTAAGGCTAAATAATTGTAATTTATTATTTCTAGATCGTTTTTGCAGTGAAAGAACCTTCTCCTCTCAGGTTTAATGAGGGGGGGGGTTATAAAGACGGGGCTCTGGAGCTTCTCATTAGCTCCATCAATTAGCAGCTGCATCGCCTTCCTGGGCGCGCTCTCAGAAACCGTAGATCCAGGGTCCTCTGAGAACATCCCTGCTGCTTTTCTGTACCGACTTCACTTTAAATCTGACTTTACCTCCCCCCCCTCCGCCTCTGATTGATAATCCGGGCTCCCCCATGCATGAGAGATTCCTAACCATAATCTCTGACCTTTGATGATTAAAAGTTGAAAGGATATACGGGTAAAGAGGCTGATAAAGTGATTCCTGTGACAGAGGGTCGATGATGCAGCAGTGCTTTAAGTCGTCCTGTTTGTCTTGGAAGGCCTGTGCTCTTAATGGTGATGTCCCCTGTGACTGATGCAACAGCTTCACAGTTGGTGTAACAGTGAATGCAGACGGCGCTCGACTGTAAGCGGAACAACAACATCGAAACGGTTCATCAATTAAACGCTCCAAAATGTATTGTCTGATGAAAACGCGGACAGGATTTCAACAAATTGCACGCAGCAGCAGCAGATCTGATGGGGATCTGTTTTTGGTAGCCAGCCTCAGAGTTTGCATTCTCTCTGTGGCGTCTAAAGTTTAAACGTCTGTGGATCCAACTCCTTCTGAAAAGTCACTTCAGTCGGTGCCCGTTCTGAAGGAGGGATCCAATCGGGTTCTACACACGCGTCTTAAGATGAGCGGATGAAAGCTGTGGAAGAAAAGTTTGTGCTGCAAAGCAGCGATTTTCCTCCTCTTTTGGAGTTTTGAAGGGCTGCGGTGTGCGGGCTTGTGTGTTTCTGTGCACGCCTGTCTGTGCATGTGGCTCCCCCCCCCGCCCGCCCGCCCGCCCGCCTCCTTGTCAAGGAGCTCCCCTGAGCTTCCTTCTCTGTGCTTTGGCACTAGAAGTCACCTCCTTTGGTGTTCGGCAGGCAGGTACACAACAGGAGCAGCTCTCTCTCTCTGAGCTGTTGAACTTTTCGGGAGGGGAAGAAAGGGAAGGGGAAGATTAAAAACAGCCCTGTGATGTGGAGTGCCGAGCTGCCTCCTGAGGATTCCTGGCATAATAATTTAAATGATCAAATGATACAGAGGAGACTTGTTAGCTGAGAAACAGCCTCCTAGTTGGCCCCATGGGCCCCGTGCTGCTGCGCATGCATTGCAAAACAGCTCCTCTGTTGTGCTAAAGAATCCCCTTTTTTTTTTTTTTTTAACCCCCTTTTCAGGAGCAGACTTTTTCCACACTTTACCTGAGTGTATATTTGGCACTTAAGCCTCTGTCGCATATTTATCGTAATCTTTCATCAACTTTGCCATTCATCAGCGTGCCGGGGAGCTCATTAGGTTTTATCTTTTTGCTCACGTGGGCCTGAGCTGCTCTCGTGTCATTAGGTCCAGCCTGTGAGGTTTTCAAAGGCATCTGAGTGAGGAAAGTCTAAGAGTCACTCTCTGGAAACCGGTCTCTGTGGAATATCCTGCTGGAGTCGAAACCGTGGAGCAGAAAACTCTGTAATGTGCTTTACAGGCGGCGTGCCGCCGTGAAACAGCTACTTAGCTTTTTCTTTTTTGAAACGCAGCCTTGTATGTCTGTTATGTGAGTCTCATGAGTTTTTATGCACCGATTTGTTTTTGTCTCTCTTTCTTTTTTTGCCACAGATCCGGCTCCTGTGTTGGAGGCCTCCCACTCCCTAGAGGAAAGGCTGCAGAAGCTGCAGAGTTCGGCCCCAGGCAGCGAGGCCCTGGTGCGCGAGATCAGCGGGCACTGGAAGAAACACCTGGAGAAGGGTCAGCCCACTATCATCCTCATCTCATTGACTCACTCTGAAGGTTCATATTGGGTCATCCGGGTCGTTGTCTGTCCTCCTACAGGGTCCACAGAGGACGTTTCCACAGATTCTACTCCTCCGGCCTCCCGGATGACCCCTAACAGCACACCGGCCCCTGAGGCCCCTGCATCTCCGCAGCAGAACCACCGGAACCAAACTGAGGACAAACGGTGAGATTCCGTTTATACCCACAGAACTCCGTCTGTCTAACACTGATGAGACTTTAACTGGTTCGGCATTAGTTTCTCTGAGTCTTCTTCATGGGTTTTCTTGTTCCCAGCTTCCTCTGTCGTCTTTAAGAAATGATTTCCCACATCATGATGCTGCCAACACCGTACATTAAAGAGGCAGTGGTGTGTTCATGGACAGTTTTCCTCCAAATTCAGGGCTTTTCACGTCGGTCGTTACTCTGCAGGGCGTCTCGCGTCAGGAAACGGGGCTGATTATACGACTGGGAATCGTCGTTTCCTCATTTTTTGGTGGATTTGCAGCTGTGCCAAATAATCCCACCCTGCATTAAAGGAATAGTACACCCAAAACATGATTAGCCTTCATTTTCTACTCACCCCCATGCTGAACAACACTCTGGAGTACTTTTTTGA